TTATTGACATAAATTCATGAAATAGTAGTTCAATAAAATTTTGAAGGTGAGTCAACAAACGAGATGATATGGCTATTCACCCATGATCCATCTGAAAAGGGCTAAAACAAATCTATTAACAGACTCTAGACTTCTTCTGAACTTCCTTCACCACTGTTGACAAATGTTTTAAGCTAATATCTATAACCACACAATAATTTTCTATTTTGTTACTAATAAACAAGAAGTAACTTCTTTACAAATTTCCAAACCTCGAGTAAACCACTATGTGGTATGTATCCATTCTGCATGTTTTCTACCATTTATCAATAAACTACAAAAATGCTTGTAAATACATTGTAAGTAGGTTTAACATAAGATGACAGTTAAGGGTACAGCTAAGTTCTTTTCATCCTAGTTATCTCGTATTCTAGGTCATTCACCTGTGGAAACATATACACTTTGCTTTGGGAAATATTTCTGAAAGGTTCAACATACTACGTAAAACAGCACAGCAATATTTTCCACTGTCGGGTTAGGTGATATCTTGACTTACAAACACCTTTATTTTTTAATGGGTATGACCAACACTAGAGTGGGTAGTGCATGCACTCTGAACATTAATCTTTGATGTATATAATACTGTTTTCTCAGTCTGCAATAGTTCTTCAGTCTTCATATAATTCTACAGCAGTTCTTCACAGAGAGCTCAATTTGACCAAATTCATAACCACTTTGTATTTCCTACAGTTTCCATACTATAACTTTTAGTACAGTATGCACATCTTCACAAGCCCCCCCAGTGGCACAGCGGTATGTCTGAGGACTTACAATGCTAGAAACCGGTTTTCGATACCCGTGGTGGGCAGAGCACAGATAGCCCTTGTGTAACTTTGTGCATAATTAAAAACAAACATCTTCACAAAATTTGGCAGACTTTTAGTAACTATTATAAGTCATTTGTAAAAAAAAAATCTGATTTTTTAGTGAAGTATTTCCATATTATGATTAAAAATATTTTTATTCATCTCAAAGATTCCAAATTTCATTTATATTATCTGTGAAACCTCCTAAAAACTTTATATTTTACCTGATCTGTTATTTTCTCTACTCTAACTCTCTACAAGGTTGGTCAATTTGATCGACCTCATAACAACCAAAAAAAATTTAAACTACACTTTCTTTTCCTCTCTAGAATGACTACAAATTGTAAAATGAAACTACGTTTGTTTATCCTAAATAGTTTTAATCTCATAACAGTATACATCTATTTATATTAAATTTTATTATTCTATTGCCCTTTGACCCATGTGTAACTACTATTCATGCCATTATAAGTTATAGATCACTCGGCAAACATGCAGCTCACGTTACACTATTGAATTACATTACGTGATGAGAAATATTATTTCTGATTGTATTTACAACAATTTATGTTTCACAGACTCCCAACCTAGAATATTATATGGTCTGCCAAAAGTTTGTAAACCAGAAACCCCTATACTTTCTACCTTAGACACTCACAGTTATAACATAGCTAAATTCCTTGTACCTATCTTAAACACCCGACTCCTTCCAATTTTCCTGAGAAATCAGTAAACTCTCCCCCCCCCTAAAATCATGTGATGGCTAGCTTCGATATTACTTCTCTTTTTACTAATATTCACCTGGATGAAACCATTAATATTGCACTGTCTAATCTCTTTGCTAATAACATTGTTGTCAATAGTCTTTCTAAATCTGATTTTTAAGTCTATGCTCGAACTCTCGACTAAAGACTCTCCTCTCCTCTTTAACAATACTCTATATGATCAGACAGATGGTGTTGCTATGGGCTCCCCACCGGATCCTATGCTTGCCAACGTTTTTCTATGTCACCACGAACAGAACTGTATTGACAACTGGCCTTTAAGCTTCAAGCCTGTTCTTTACAGAAGGTATGTTGATGATATGTTCCTTATTGTCCGCCATACTGATTATAACCAATGCTTTTTTTAATGTATTAATTCACAACGCCACTCTATACAGTTCACTCATGAAATTGAGACAAATAACTCTATCTTCTTAACCATAATGCTAATGGCTTTTCAACTTCTGTGTATTGTAAAAACACATTTACTGGCCTTTTTACTCAGTTTGACAGTTGTATACCCTTCAAACAAAGTCTTATTCTCTGTCTACAAAATAGAGCCTATAAAGTTACCTCATCCTATCTAACCCTTCACAAAGAAATTACTTCCATACAAAGTATTTTCTTTTGAAAATTTTCTTTTCTTGGAGAAAATAACTTTCTCATTCTTAACTAATTTGTTTGTCAAACCACCTGAGATACCCACTCTACCCAAACTTCCCTTGTACACCTGATTACCGTATCTCTAGAGATAGACCTCCCTTTTCACAAAAGATTTGAAAAATTATGTAACTATTACTATCCCAAAATTGACCTGAAAGTTATTATGAAACCCAATTTCAGATTAAAAATTTTTTTCGCTTCAAAGATCATTTGCCAACTGCCCATTATTGACATCTCGTTTACTTATACATGTGAGGAGACCGTTAGGCCTCCTATATTGGTGAAACCAAAGTCATATTAAAGTACGAGTATGTGAACAAATGGATATATCTATAAAAACTGGAAGATAGGTTACAATCCTTCCTAACTCCACTGTCTATCAACACAATACAGAAACAGGACATCCGATTTCTCTCTCAAACTTTAAAATTCTCTCGACAGCCAAACGTGATACCAAACTTCTTATAAAAGAATCATTATACATAAAAACTCTCCTCCCATCCCTAAATAATACACAGTCTTCACTTGATTTAAACTTATTTTAACTATTTCATCTGTGTCCCATTTTTCATTTTCTTGTTTTTTAATTGTATATTCAAATTGTTTACTTCTTATAAATATATTTCTGTTGTAATTACAAATATTGTTTGTTTGTTTTGTACCTTTTGATTACTGATGATGGAATTATGATGATTCCAAAACGTTTAATAAATGCTTCTTATTATCACATTCATGTTTTGCTTTATCATTAAGTTATGTTTTCCAAAAAATGATGACACATGAGGTACTCTGAGTTGCTCATGAGTGTACTCCATGAAAATATTCATTATATTATTATTATTTATTTTACCTAATTTAACCTTAACTAACTTATAAAAGTTTCCTATTTTTACATTTTAGTTACTTTTATATTAAAAAATACACATGAAAGACAAGAAATAAAGTACTTACCAGGATCTTCTTTTCTATTGCTGTCGATGACACCTGAGTCTACTTTTGTATACTATGGTAGTACTGCACTAAAATATTTTTCATTTAATTAGATAATGCACTAAGGACAGAAAAATAACATGCAAAAAGCAGACAATGTCCCATAACAATCACAATTTTCCTGGCTTTTTAACTATGTGACAAGAGCCATTACAAATTCATCTAAGTTAGTCGATGTGCTTCCCATAGAAATAAAACTTGAACTGAAAACAAAATTGGCAATTCTCTGTACGGAAAACAATGCAGTATAATATGTCATTTGATAGATTAAAACGTTGGCTTTCTATATGTTATGAATAGTGTAGTATTGAACATCAGAAAGAACTGTTGGCAATTTCTGAAAGAGAGGATGTGACAGGTGAGTGTGGCAAAGGGGTTTGTTTTCCTATTTGATGGCTCTATAACCAAATAAGATTAAAGACTATGAAAATTATGCCTTGTCTGAGTGATAATGATGACATTATAATGAACAATTTACATTAGATTTTGTACTTCTTGGAGCAGTGGTAAATAAATGAGAGAAGATAGGATGGCTAGAGAGAAAATATCAAGCTAGGGGCAATTCATGATTTTGTTTTAATATTGCCTTATACAGTTAAGATCTTAACTCTTTTTTACTATTAAAATATGGATTGTTAGCTATATTTTTATACTATACTTATTGGTATACCATGAAAAAGTAGTTTAATTACACTTTGTAACTTACTAAATACCTAGTGACACATGTAGAAAAAGGTGCCATGGAGAGATGTTTAAAGGCACCATCTTAAGAAAATTCTTTCATGTCTAGAATTATACACAGACTTTTCTCTATGTTAAAATACTTTTATTGGCAAGCTTTCACCCCTCTAACCAAAGCCTTCATTAGGCAATATAAAAAAAAATCCTGAATTTCCTCTATTCCACACAAGTGACACATTTTCTGTTGGTATCTTCTCTATTTCATCCATCAACCCTCCAAGAAGTATGAAATTCAACCAAAATTACTCTCTATAAAATCATTATTGCTCAGACAGACCATAATTTTTACAGCCTTCAATTTTGTTTGGTTACAGAGCTATCAAATAAAAAATCAGACCTCTCCTGCCACACTCACCAATCGCATCCTCTCTTTCAAGATTTGTTAATAGTTCCTTCTTACGTTTAATTCTGTATTATATATAACCAACAGAAAGCGAAGGCTTTCATCTTTTAAATGATGTATTGTATTACTTTGTTTTCTGAACAGAGAATTGTCAGTTTCACTGTTAGAACAAGCTTCGTTCCCATGGGAAAGATAACAACAAGTTTGGATGAATTTGTAACGGCTCTTGTTGCATAGTTAGAAAGCCAGAAACATTGTGATAGTTAGAGGAAATTGTCTACTTTTTACATGTTATTATTTTATGTTCTTTGGTGCGTTATTTAATTAAATAAAAATTATTTAGTGCATTACTACCATTAGTATAAAAAAAGGTAGGTTAAAGTGTCATCAACTGTCGACAACAGAAAAAAGAATACTCGGGTAAGTACTTTATTGTTTTTCATATTTATTCTTTATTTATTATTATAAAGTAACCAAAGCATAAAAATTCTGATCTCTTTAGGTTAGTAAAGGTTATATTAGGTAAAATAAATAATAACAATAATATATTAGAAATGTTTCACAAGGGTAACGTAATTCGATAGTGTAACAAGATCTCTATGTTCCCTAAGTGACTTACTAGTTATAATGGAGTGAATAGTAGTTGGACATGGTTCAAAGAGTGATAAAACAATAAAATTTAACCATAAATAGATGTATAGTGTTATGAGTTTAAATCTACTTAGGATAAATGAATGTAGTTTCACATCACAATTTGAAGTCCTTCTAGAAAGAAAAAAGAGTACTTTAGATTTATTTAAATTTTTTTTGGTGGTTACAAGGTCAGTCAAGTTGACCAACCTTGTGTAAAGATAGGGTAGAGAAAATAACAGATAAAATATAAAGTTTTACTGAAAACAAACATTTGAAATGTATTTAGGAGGTTTTAGTGATTACATATATGAAATTTTGGATTTTTCAGATGAAGAAAAGTATTTTTAATGACTTTGCACATGGACTATTCAAAACAAGTACTCGATATAATCATGGACAAATCTTTTTTTTAATTTATTTAAAATAATGCACTAGAAAATATGGCTTTTTGTATGTGAAAGATTTATAGTGTTTGCTGAAAGACTCTCAAATGTTGAGAAGATATACATACTATATTAAAAGTTAGTAGTATTAAATCTGTTAAGATTTTAAATGAGCACAAAAAGGTCACATGGTCAGTAAAATTGATGGAACCCATGTTGAGATAGTTAATACCCACTGGTAGTCCACTGTCTTGTGCTTGGATGGCAATAGCTTCATTGTTGTTTCTCTGTTTGGTGTTTTCTTCTCTCTCATTTTTGCATTTTTTAGATCTATAATGTGGTCATTTTTCTGAAAGGAGAAAAAACTATAGGTGATGTGTTTATTGCATAGTTCTTAATATCTCTTTGGTGTTCTTTGAGTCCTATCTGTATTGGTCATTATGTTTTTCCAATGTATTGTTTATTATGGTCACACCAAATGCTATAAACCACGTTCTTTGTGAGAGGACTGGGAACTAAGGATTGTACCATCTTATGACTGTCGTGTAGTGTAGGAGGACATTAGAAAACTACAGTGATGTTAAGTTTATTCATTACCCTATGAAGGTTTTCTCCTAGGCCTGGTATATAAGGAAGAAATGCTTTTTCCCTTTTATTGTGATTGCCTTTCTTATATACCTTCATGGTCTATCACCCAAGCAGCTAGGAACTGGTAAGTGTCAAGGACTCCCATACTCCATTCGAAGAGAGAGGGAACAAATTGGTGGAGAGTCCAGTGGAAAGCAACACCATAAGACAGTGCAATGGGTGACCATGAAAACTCTATTTTGAAAATCAGGCCGGTCAAGATTTATTCAACCAGGAAAGGAGAGATGGGTATAAATAGGCGGGAACAGGATCCATGGAAGGAAGCAGTGCAGGCAACATAACAATGTAGAGCATGTACTGAATAAAGAAGATGATCAGGTTTGGAATGGGAATACAAATGTGAGATGGAAGGAAGAGAAGTAGAAGTGCAGGCAATGTCTCCATCATGTGCTGCTGACATTTTGGGGAAAAAACTATGATTTGGATAAAAGAGAACATAGGTATGGTGCTAAAGAATATGGGAGACGTCAATAGTGAAGACATCTGATTGACAACATCCATATGCAAAACAGATTATGAAATACACATTTAGAGTGGCCAAAGTTTCAAATTGAGGATGGGTAAGGGCAAGAAGGACCACAGTGAGATTCCAGTCAGACAAGGATATTGCATTTGGTGTGTGGAGGGTGACAGCTTTAATTATATAAGTATTGTGGTTTATTCATTGGTTTTTGGTACAAATCAGTATGTAAAACACCTATCTCCTCTCCGCCTTCTTCTCCATCTTCTCTCTCTAATCCAACCCACTTCATGTTGTGTCCTTCTAATCATCACATTCTAGCCTGCTCAACCTTGGTTTCTGATTCTACCCCTGCTTCACCTGTCCCTCACCCTTACCTCTTCAACTTTGTCAATCTCATCTTAATCAACTTCAGTCTACCATTTTTCATTCTGCTGTCACCACAC